GGGGGTAAAAGTACTTTAAACTGTATAAATTCAATTGAATAAAATTGGCCAATCACGAGAAAGTTAGCCTATATACTATACCCACCTTCGGCTACGTATCATCTAATAACTAAAAAAAAATTTTATGCGGTATTTGTAATTAAATATTATAGTTCACGTGAGTAAAAATTCGTATAGAGATGATCGATTCACAAATTATTGTATAATTTTTTAATTAGCATTAAGAAATTAATAACCCCATGGGTACCTCTGAAGACACTGCTTATTACTCTCTCTATCTTCCTTTTTCATCTTCAATACAACCTTCAGATCAAACATCGTCTCTTCAAGAAACAAGTGCTTTGATTTTATCTGAATTACATCAGTTTCTTAATGGGTATATTTGGCATAAAGATAAATTTCAATTAAGAATTGTGCAAAATGAATCAGGTACTATATTTATTTGTTCGATTAATATAATTATACAAAGATGTTTTTTTTGAATGCATGATTTTTTATATTTAGATCCAAGTTTTCCTTTCTTATATGGTAAAACAAGGTTTGGTGATTGTATTGACGATGAATGGTTTATCGTTTTTTTATTGAAACACTTATCGAAGAAGTTTCAAGATGTTGTTGTGAGGTATTTATTTATTTATTTGGTTTTAATAATGCAATTCTAGGTCTTAAGGATTAATAGATCATTTCACTTTTAGTGTCTCTGATAATGATGGTGAATTTTTGTTAATCGAAGCTGCTACACAACTACCCTCATGGCTGAATCCAAGTAATAGTGAAAATAGGGTGTGGTTTTCATATCTCAATTCATTATTCGCAAAATATTTTATTACATAGGAAAATATAATGTTTTACCAATATCAAAATTGTTAGGTTTTTATATATCAAGATCAATTACATATAATCCCTTTGCCAAAAACTCCTACTGAAATTGCTCATATTCCAACTGGAAAATTATCGGTTGAAAAAGCGATTCAATTGGTACGCAACGATGTTGTTGATACCAAAGCTGACAGTAAGGTGCAACAAGCTGTATTTTCAAGAACTTTAGAGTGAGCGATTGGATAAATTATTATAATAATATAATTATTCTGTTTTATACTTTGTCCTATTGCTAGATAACATGATTATTGATTTAATAAAACAGGTATCCAGAAAAGATTAATCAAAATGTTCATTATGCTCGATGTCACATTCCAAGAGCTATAGCTCATGTCTTGTATCATAATCCTCAACTTGTTGCTCCGGCCGTTGAAGCATTTTATACACGAGATCCTATTGCATTAAAAGTTTGTACATCTTTTATCATTATCTATATATTATTTGTTTTTGTTAATAAAGAAAATTTTTTTTTTATAGTCATGTCAAAAAATGCAAAAATTTCCTCCATATACGTCAATTACTGTCAGCGTAAAATTTACAAAAATTTTATATGCTCAACTTGTAAGTCAACGATTTAATGCACCAAAACCATTTATAATGCCATTGAGTACTTCAAAAAAGTATCCAGCTGCTGAATTAGGAATGAAATTGGTTAGTTTACATATTTATTATACTTAATGAGGTTTACACAAATCTTTTTTTTATATAGAATAAAATAAACGTACTTCATATGTTGACATCAGGCATGCGGATTTGAAATTCTTTGTACTGATAAATATTATACAGGTTTATCTCCATTAGAACAAATAGATGAAATATTGAAACTACCAATGGTTTCTGATGAAGTGTTAATGTCAAATATTAAACAAGATGATGATAGTTGGCTCAATGTTGATCCGAAACAATTAGATGAATTACTTAATGCAACTAATAAGAGCTACGAAGAGATTCCAAGCGAGGTAGATTCAATTAATTCATTTATAATTTTTTTGTTTCCTTGCATTTTGGTATATTTATCATTTTGTTTTGATATCATAATAATAGTCTGATGATGAACTGAATCCTATTGATTTGACCAATATGATTGATACATTTGAAAAGTTTTTTGATTTTGAAGGTGCAGGTGTGGAAGGCGCGGAGTTTCCGGGGTAAGTTTTACCTGGAATTTTTTTAAATCATGTGTTATATGACATTTGACCAATTTAGTTATAACCTAATTAATAGTGAACATATATCTGACGAGGATGATGATGATGAGGAAAATATATATGTGGATGATAATGCAGATGTAAAAGTTGATCCAACTGAATTTTTAAGAATAATGAGACAAACTTTGGGTAATGTTTTGATTATCTATATTACTCCGTACTTATATTTGCCATTAAAAAAATGAAATGTTTTTATAGGCATTTCTGAGCAAGAGTATAGGGAATTGGCAAATGAAAAGATAAGGCAGGAATCTGATCAGATTACAAGTATGTTAGGTCACAATCTCTTATTTTATATAGTAGCATAATTATTAACAAATCACTATAATTTATATTTCTTAGGAGAGCTTATAGATCAATCAAAATCAATATCTTCACAGCAATTCTTATCATCTGACATCTCTGAATCATCATCACGTGGAAAGATGAAAGAGTCAAACAACGACATTGACATGGAAGCATACATGCGGGCACTAGATGCTGAATTATCGTTATCAAAAATTTCTGGATTATTTATAAAAACGCCTCAAGAGGCTTTGAATCAACCACTATCGGAGGATAAAATAAACAATTATGAATATGATGATGATGAATTAAGCGAACCCGTTAATATTAATTTAAATCTTGCTAAAAATTTGTTAGAAAGTTTTAAAGCACAGGAAGGACTACCTGGACCAGTTGGAAATATATTTGGAAGAATGGGAATAGGTGCATTACCAAGAGATGATGATGATGATGATGATATAGCTACTGGCAGCAGTAGTGGTTATAAAAATTTTTTATAAATGGTGACATAAAAAAACGGATTGCTTATTTTTAATTTAAATTAAAGTGTACGTTAGATAATATTCTTTTATGTAAAAAAAAAAAAAAAAAAAATGAAAGTGCAGAATAGTAATTCTGGCTCATGATTAATGAATAGACTAAACCTTAATACTGTAATGGTGATAATAAAGTCACGTCACTTTCAGTCGAGAGATTGCCTTACAACTTTTTATAACATACAAAATTTGGCCAAAAATAAGTGCATCAGTCAAATTTTGGAATTTGTTAAAAAAATACATACAGTCTTGCTTCTCTATAATCACGCAGTTTGTTTCTCACAAAACTGATTATAAATGAATATTATAAAGTATTATTGTGTGAAATATAAAAATATTTCTGATCGCTACATATAAAAGTCAAAATTTTACTAAGGTAATCAGTTTTTAGTCGTTAAGTAAAATTGTTCAGCATAACCAAACACACTTTATTCTAAAATTTTTGACACAGAAAAATAATTTTTCTGCAACTTAAAACTAATAAATTTCACCAAATTTCATAAACATTTTAGAATAAGTATATTTATTATGCTAAACAACTTTACTTAATACACAAAATTGATTATATTAGTAAAATTTTGACTTTTATATGTAGAAACTACCTGCGTCATGATTATATGAGTGCTGCCAAGGGAAAAGAGCCACTTTGATCAAAGATATCCCAACAACTACTTGATCAAATTTGATAAATTTTTTTTTATTTGAATTTTACAAATCTATAGAATTCAAGTAAAAAAAAAACTTTTATCAAATTTGATCAAACAAATTTTAATAAAGTTCAGAGTGACTCAGCAAAGTATTTTTATTAACAAAAAATTTCAAAAAACCTATAAAAATATGGTATATGGAAATTATAAATTAATTGTGACTATATAAAGGCATTTTAAATATAAAAAAATGGAAATAAAATTTTACGTAATTATATGGGAGTTATGATTAAATTTTATATTATTATATAGGAGTTATGATTATATAGGTGATTGAGTAATAAAACATCGTTAGTTGTTATAAGAAAGTTGGAGTTAATGCTTTAAATTGTTAGAAAGATCAAAATTCACATATTGAAAGCTTCATGTAACTTTATCAACGCGTTTTTTTCATTTTTTACGTTTTGCAAACAAAAATTTTAGATCTTTTTTGTAAAATGTAAAATATGAAACCGCGTTAATAAAATCATCGGATTTAAAGAGTGCATTAACTTCAATTTTCTTAATAAAATTTGATTTTACTATATAACAATTATTAATATTTCAAAATGGAACAAATGCGGTCTTAAGTATTGCGTACTGTAAAAAATCAATTAAAGTTGGCTTATGCAAAGCAGATAAAAATTCATCGGTTTAGTTAGCTTATAAAATTTGACCTGCTAGCACATAATATTTAAGTAAGGCCACACAAATTTAATTTATTGGTTCTCGTAACATGGAACTTCTTAAATCGACCCGGCCGGCCGGCTTTTTTTTTTAATTTTATATATAAAAATTTGTAAAATTTTCTTAAAAATTTTTTTAAAAACTCACCTGGCTATTAAAACATAAAAAAATTTTTTCGAAATTTGACCCGGCCGGGTTACAAGAACCAATTAATTAACTTTGCATGGCCTAATTTAAAAAAAGTTATTAACTATATATATTTTCCTGTTAATGCATAGAATTGTTGATACAAATACTTACAGTCAACCTTCTCTATAATCACACAGTTGGGATAATAGTAACTTTTTTTTAAAAATATGTTTGTAAAGAGATTGTTTGTTTTTTCTATATATTTATAGCAATTTGTTTTACAAAATTAGGTGTTTATATAGAGCTGTGATTATATAGGGTGTGATAGCACAGGTTTTTTTCATAGTTTTACTGGCTGCCCTTGCATCGAAAGTGTATCAAAAGTATATCAAGCGTAACTCAGGTTTATATAAGAAGAGCATCTTCCTGTGTTGCGAATATGAAATAAAATTTTCAATTATATTATATAATTAGAAATTTTACTTCATATTCGCAACACAGGAAGAGCACCCAAACTTTCTGTGCCAGGTTATGTCGATTATTGTGGCATAGTAAAATTTAAAATTCATTAATGTTAGGGTTAACATTTAGAATAAAGTTATTAGATAGTAAAATCACTCAAGAAAAACTTTTTGTTAGAGCACTAAAGGTGGTTTCTTATACTGATTCTTGAGAAATAAGCGATTTTGGAAAAAGTAAATGTTTGTTTTGTAATTTTCTAATCGTATTATGTTATATCTAATTCTTGAAATCCGATTTGTGGATCAGGACAATGATCAACATAACCTGGCACAGAAAGCTTGGGTGCCAGGAAGATGTTTTTTTCATATAAATCTGAGTTATACTCAACATACTTATTATATATTTATAATAATTGATTTTTTTTAATAAATAAAACTAGTCAGTGCCTTGTTTACTTAGTGATTCCAATTATAAAATTGCTAATATTTTAAATTTTTGACTAGATAACACTTCTTATACAGTCGTCCTCCCATATAATCACCCAATTTATCTAGCACTTTTTGGTGATTATATAGAGGGGTGATTAAATA